CCATTGACTGATAAAACATATCATACAGAAGGTAACACTGACAGGTGGTGTGTGAGGCCTTTGGTGAATAAATAAATAAATAAATCCAATGTAATTCGAGAAGGGTGGAAACTTATAAATCCCAAAACAAAAATAAAATGACTGGCAAACATTTCGAAAAAAGTAAGCACATGCTTTACATGTGGTACTCCAAACTGGACAAGTGACATTGATGCTATTTAAGATCACCTGTGTTAATTTGTACGAAACAAGATAATGTTTTTTTAAAACGTACGTTTATGCACTATAGTTCGTAGCATGGCGAATGAGCTCAGAAATGTACACTCCATCTAGGTAGAAAACAAGCAGCCTCTTGGCTGAGATAGCTCCACTGTTAGCAATGCACATTTCAATTAAAGAACAGAAGATATCATTAGAAAATGAACAATATGCATAGTATCAATGCAATGGGACTTGTTGTTTTCAACAAGAATTCAAATGATTGTGGTTTTTAACAACAAAAAAATATCACTTTTTACCAAAAATGACAAAAATATTCATCAAAATTAGAGAATTGAAGATATCATCATGAAATGAACAAATTTGAGAGTGGTCCACAAGTAGTACCTATCCATGTAATATCAAAGCAATTGGACTTGTCGTTTTTAACAAGAAGTCGAAAATATCACTTTTTACCAAAAATTTTCACCAAAATTAGAAAATTAAAGATATCATCATGAAATGAACAAATTTGAGAATGGTCCACATCTAGTACCAACATATATTATATCAAAGCAATTGGACTTGCGGTTTTTAACAAGAAGTCGAAAATATCACTTTTTACCAAAAATGACAAAATAGTCACCAAAATTAGAAAATTAAAGATATCATCATGAAATGAACAAATCTGGGAGAGGTCCACATGTAGTACCTATATTTGTAATATCAAAGCAATTGGACTTGCGGTTTTTTACAAGAAGTCGAAAATATCACTTTCTACCAAAAATGACAAAAATATTCATCAAAATTATAGAATTGAAGATATCATCATTAAATGAACAAATTTGCGAGT